CTGAACATCAGTTATACGTAACTTTTTTTAAAGAGGCTTTCAAATTCTATTCAGAAAGTTTCAGATTAAGATTACTGTTCTTTCCTGAAATTTTTTGGGTAGATTATTAAGTTTTTCTACCTAGCTGAAAAATTATTCACACGCCCACAGCAAAGCAGCTGTATTATGGCCCATGAGGATTATTCCGGAATTCTGTAAGGTTGGAATTCCCTGAGTTTATTATATCTTATGAGCTGTACAGTGTTCAGATTTCACTAGAAAAGGAAAAGGCATACTAAATTTAGCAAGTGCATCATATTAGTGCATTTATATGCCACATACCAAAAGTACAAATAAAGACATTGAAAAACAAACATACACCTAGTTACCCAGTGAGGAACTCAATCCACTCACCTGCTTGCCCTTTGGGGTAAGATTCAGCGTTCCATACACGGCAACACTACTCTCAGTGGACAAGACTACTCCATTGTAACACTGACACTAGAAAAAGATCAAGTTCAAATTTAGTTATTCACATTTTACATTAAAATATTCCAACATATAGAAAGCAAAGGAGATTATTTACTAACAAGTTATCTGGTCCAAAAGTAGTAAAATAAGAAGATGGCCATCAATTTTTAATATTAATAAAGAACAGCTATTTTTACAAAAGATGTATCTATCTATCTATATATATAATATAAATACATACTTTACATACATACATAGGCATAATTGACATTAGTCCACATTTCTTAAAAGTATCCAAAAAGTTCATTTTTCTTTTTCTTTAAAATTCAGACAGTTAAAATAATACGGAGTTCATCTAAGCTATGATCAATGATTGATAAAATCAGTAGGAGAAAAATNAAATAAAAACAATGCAGACATTCCTAAAAATGGAAAACATATGACATAACTTCCTCCTATGTAAGTTAAAATACTATGAAATTATTGGCAATGAGTGGTATCAAATTTTAATCTTCAAAATATTAGTCCAGAAATAGGTGAAGGTAAGTCAAAAGGTACAAACTTATTTATTTTAAGTCCTGGGGATGTAATGCAGCTAATAATACTGTGCTGTAAATTTGAAAATGGCTTTGAGAGTAGATCTTAAAAGGTTACAACATTAGGGGAAAAAAATTGTAACTGTGTGGTGATGGATGTTAACTACACTTACTGTGGTGATCATTTCGCAAATATGCATATACCAATCATTATGTTGTACACCTGAAACTAACATAACATTATATATTAATTATGTCTCAAAATATACATATGTATGTTAAGACACTGAAATTGCAAAGCTCACCAAGCCATCAAATCTACAAAAACTGTGGGTGAAGACTTCCTTGCCTTCCAAAACAGAATCATAACTTTGCATTTCCATAAAACACTACACCTACCGGGTTGAGGTCATACACTATGCTTGCTGCGGGCGATTTCAAGACTCTATCTACCACGTCACAAACCAAGTCCTCCAATCGGTTCAGGAGATCCTCAAAGGTCAGGAAAGGGCACTCCGCTTCCACATGGGTGTATCTGAAGGACAAGACACCGGCTCAGAGCTGCTCCTTGTTTCTACTAAGTTTTCCTCAAGCAAACATTTTAACATGGGGAAACTGTCCAGAAAGGGAAAATGCCAACCCTGCCAACCAACTCTCCATTCTCCACATGAGTTTTAGACCACCCACCCACCTTTTCCCCTTGAAGAGGAAATTCTTGTTTATTCCTTAGCGCATAAAGGATCATGGCAAAATGAAAGAACAGACCTCAGCTAGTTATGGCCCAAGAGGCAAAACTCCTTCTGTGATGTCCATTAATTTATTCAACTGTGCTTCATATATCTTCTTAATATGTTAACATTTTTACATGGACATTCTTTGCCTACATAAAGATTGCTTTTCTAAACACATTTTCTTAAAAAATTTTTTGACTAAAAAGACAGTTCCATACTCAGCCANCAGGATCTGAAGCTTACAAAAACGACCTTTTCTGAAGGTCTAGATTCCAAACCTGAAAAATACTTTTCATCTTGTTTTAATGGTTCCAATTCAATGATTAGTAAGAGGAGGAAGGAACCTGGATCTTTTCAAAATAGCCAAGAGAGTTCATCTTTTTTTTTTTTTTAATTGGGGAATTCGGAAAGGGGACCAGCCAAGTTGCTGTTCTTCAATCTTAGTTGTGGAGGGTGCCAGTCGCCATCTGGCTGCCCAGTGGCAGCTCGTGGCCTCTGAGCTCAAGGTGCTGTGTTACAATCTTAGTTCCAGGTGGGCATAGCCACCATCCCATGCGGGAGTCGAACCAGCAGACTTGTTAAGAGAGTGCCCTCTACCCACTGAGCCATCCGGGCGACAGCTCAGCTCAAGGTGCCAAGTTCAGTCTTAGTTGCGCGTGGGCATAGCCCACCATCGAACAGGCAGTCTTGTTGTTAGAAGCATGTGCTCTCACCAGCTGAGCCATCCTGCCACCTGTTGGCAGCTCAACTCGGGCGCAGCATCACTGGCCCATATGGGAATCGAACCGGTGGTCCTGTTGCTCAGAGCTCATGTTCTTAAGCTAACTCTTAACCAGCTGAGCCACTCGGTCGGCCGAGAGTTCATCTTGTTAACCATTAGAATTTGTAGAGATCTTTGCACATTATTAGGAATTCATTTAATACCTGATATTCTCTACTTATCCCTCTTTTTATATCACTGCAATTGAAGGAGCCAAACTGTCATTCCCCACATCAGAATGGCACACTTTTGCTAATAGCAACATTCTGCAAACATTCACCTAAGCAGTGCTGTCAGTTTGGGGAGCCCAAGTCACCCCAACAACCCAGAAATGAGATATTTCCCTCTAAGAGTTAAAAAATTAGACCTATGCACGACACACCAATGCATAGCCACAGAGTACGAACTAAAAGAGGAGAGAATGCTCCCAAGACAAGNTCAGACAGTTAAAATAATACGGAGTTCATCTAAGCTATGATCAATGCTTGATAAAATCAATAGGAGAAAAATGACGGGGAATTTTATAATGAAGGGATCAGGCTATCAATACCCGACCCCACACATCATAAAAAAATCCAAGTGGACGTTATGTGTCTCATGATGATACAATTGGAAGAACACAGCTTTGCCCATGAAATAATTGTGCCACCCACCACCCCCCAAGAACCTGAAGCTCATCAGACCTAACTTCCAGCTTACAGGATATACAGAGTAGAGGTACATGTTAAATGGCACCTCAGGATGTCATCAACTAAATCCGGAATGTGAGGAGTGCCACAGGACAACCAACCAGGTTTTTTCCAATAAATAAACGTTTTCCATAAGTTGAAAACATGTATACAGATCCAGAAATTCCCAAAACTAACACTAAAGGAACCTACTGAAAAAAATCTAATTTTCAGCCACAAATAAGAGAAATTATTTACCAAATCATCTGACAAGACACATTGAAGATATCCAGTACCATCCCGCAACACCAGAAACATTAAATTCTTTCCTAAAAACCAGAAAGAGAAATTTAGCCAGACTGTTCTCAAGGCACTTGAAAGTACTTTCTCATAATTCAATCTCATGGAAAGGCAAGTCCAAGGTTTAAACATGGAAGGTTTAAGCCTCCCATATGGCCCCCTTCCTCTGAAGTGTCCACTGGTAATATCACCACTCAGTACTTGGTAAAGCATTTTTTTCTTCTTCATTATACTTTCAAATCTGATGCGACCCTCATGACCCACATAATCAGGGGAAAGCAAGACAGTAGCAATATGAGGTGAGGAATTATGTCTTATTAACCACTGAATCCCCTGCAGTGCTTAGCATGGTACTGTGTACTCAGTGGGAGGTACATAAACATTGTCGTACAGAATCACTCTTTTTCTTATTCATGTCCCATTTCTTTTCATGAAGGATTTGATAACCATTTCCAATAAAACACATATAATAAAATAATAAAAAGTGAAAGAGAAAGCAAAATATCAGGACCCAGGGAGAAGTAGGATGAAAATATATTAATTATAAATGTCAACACTGGTACCATAAGTAAGTTTCAGGTTGGCTCTTCACTCCTGTAATACGTCCCCTGCTTTTCATTAAATAATTAAATTCAATTAGACAAATATTTACTGGATACCCCCTGAATGCATTTAAATAGCATTAAAATAATTTTCAAAGTTTCAATAGTCCTATTAAGAATAAATTTGGGATACAAATCACTATCTCCTTTAAAGCGCTAGCATCCAAACACCAAAATACCTCCAAGAAAATGAAGTTCTTCTTCTAGGACCAGGGAGCTTTAAAAATAGAGACGAGAACAGGAAAGTTGAGCCATTTACCTTGTCTACGCAGCCTGTGGACCCAGCCAAACACCTTTACTCTTTGGCCTCTGTATCCTTCTAATGCGTGAATCTTCACCTGTCAAGTTAAAATAACATCTGACCAATCATGTCATTTATCACATATCAACTTTTTCACTAATATTAGATGGATGGCAGTGAACTGTTGAAAAGTAACAAATGGTGCAAAACTGCAGATAGTTACACTACTGCAGGTCAGAACCAAAAAAATTTCACCATACTGGAGTGGGTTAAAAAAATAACCCAGGTCTTCTCTCTTACTGCAAAACCGACAATGAGAAACAACCAGAATTCCAGATATCACTATAAAAAAAGTCAGTGAATAAATGAATTCACAACAGCAACAGCCCCCGTCCACACAGAGCCCTGAGAACCCTTTCCTCGGCCTCACCGTCCCTCCTGACACTCTGGGGGGTGGAGTTAACAAAGGCCAGCTAGCTTTCTGCTTGGTGGATGAAGGAGACAGCAGGTGAGTCGAGGAAGGGGGTAGTGAGCCAAGATAACAGCTTCCTCACTAAGGAAACAGGAAACAGGACCATTCACTAGCAATAAGAACTATCTGAACTCTAAGCATGCCCACTCATAGTCCTGCATTCTATTCTAGAAAGAGTATAGAAGATATCCAATTTTATGCAATCACAAAACTTTTTGTTAAAAAATCATGAAAATGGTGGATTTCCACCTCTTCATCTTATCGGGAGGAAATGGATACTTCATGAGTGTCCAATCACTTGACCAACACCACATAGCACAGCCAGGCTGGATCCCACGTCTGCCAGTTTTTAATAAGGACAGAATCCATTCAACACACAATTACTAAACTTTATAATAAAATAAACCCCAAAAGAACTACCAGCCTCAAAACTCTGAAACGTTATTTCTCTCGATCCCTTCTAAAAGAAAAGGAAAAGAAAGACAGACAAAGCAAAGGAACAAACCACGTGGCAGGTCCCCCAGACACAGAAATAACNGCCAGCAGCCAGCGTGAGCAGCCAGCAGCTGCCGTGAGCAGCTGTTCAGAAGCCGGCGACTGATCTGCCTCACCCGGGAAAAGCACAATGATGGTGCCTACTTGGGCCAGTGAAGCAACGTCCTCCACAACTAGGCTGAAGAACAAAAGGACAGCAACTTGTCTGTTCCCCTTCCCCCAATTCCCCCCCCAAAAAAAGCTAAAAAAAAAAATGTCCAACATTGTAAAGAATTTTTATAAGAGCTTGTTTGAGCCAAAACTGACGTATGCCAGGGAGCAAGATCTCAAATGCTTCAGAGAATAACAGTTTTGCAGTTTCTTTTATGCATTTGAAATTAAGGAGGGAAGTAAGGAAGATTACATAAGGGTAGGAGAAAGCAAAGCGGGAATAGGATTATAAGATTATATGTTTTTGTTTTTTAATGGTGGTTATTTCTTTGAGGGGTATTGTTTCTGGCATTTCAAAGGTTTGTAAACCTAGATACACAGAAACAATGAACAGGGCTTGCTTAAGGCAAAGATAAGCCTTTTACTAAAGACTTATATGCCTGGGATGTTGACTGCCTACCATGATCTGCCCTGTTAGGAACTTATGATCAGATTGTTACTGAAGACTCAAAGGGTCCGCTTGCCTGTGGGCATCCAAGTCAAATAAGATACACAGGACTGCAGCAAAGAAAGTAAAGGCGTATTTAAGGAATTGGCACCAAAGCCCAGAGACACAGGCGAGCTAGCACTCTCAAAAACCTGGTTCCCTGATGGCCTCTAGTGGCTGGGTTATAGAAGGGAAAATTCATTAATCATGGTTGCTATGGGAGTTGGAGTCATGGGCTCTAATGATTGGTTGGGGCTAAGGCAGGGGGCAACTGACCATGGCATCAGGTCCTGATATCAGTAATGGCATTGTTTGTCTGGTTCCCAGGGGATGTGGTCCGTGGGGTTGTTCCTCTTTCATGAGTCTGGAGCTGAAACATAACTGAAACCAAGGTGTTATCTTTGACTAAAACCTTACTCTAGTTTGAGGTTTGGTTATTGTATCCTGCCCATGGTTGGTAAGCCTGAAGCTTGATTCTTTTTAAAAAGATTTTATTGGGACCGGGCCGGCCGAGTGGCTCAGTTGGTTAAGAGCTCGCTCAAGGGTTTGAGCTCTGAGCAACAGCGGTTCGAGTCCAGCCTGAGCTGAGCAGCCGCTGAGCTGCCAACAGGTAGCAGGATNGCCCCCCACCCGCACAGCCCGACCTTTTCACTCCCCCCCACCCCGAAACCTGGCCAGTATTGTAGAATCTCAGGATCTGCACACCCTTCCCACTGCTCTGACTCTCAGCAAATGACCTGGCGCTTGCATCAAGCCATGAAATAGGAGCTTTCTGACAGCCCTCCCTTAAAACCCTCCAACTTGCCTGCATCAACGCCCATCCTTTTCTTGCAGTCCAGTGCATGTGGTGTCCTCCTCCTTCCTGTCCTCTGGGTCCCTCTCAGTTCTCCAGTCTAATCTCTATACTCCAACCAGGGCGAACGTAAATCCAGTCATTTCCTCCTCCAGCTGCAACCTTCCATGACCTTCTTTTGCTGTCAGGCTCCACCTTGGCGCCCCCTGCATGCTCACCTGGCCTGCCACTGATTTCTAAAAGCACGATGAACATCCATCCGCCTGGGCCAACTTCCTCTGTGCATTGTCCTGGGCGCAATGTGGAACCTGGGATCACCTTTAAGAGAGGAGAAGACAGAGTCAAATAGAGGAGGAGCTGGGGAAGCTTTCAAAGCAGAAAGAGTTGTGCCCTCTGAAAGCACTGAGGAAGAACTCCCCCAGGTTAGTTTGAAGAACCATCATTGCGTCAGTTTAAAGGGAGTTGAGGCTCCGAGGCGTCTCCGCGGGTCTCAGAACCCCAGCTGATGATTTCTTGATTTATGAGGTTTTTCTATTGTTGGGTCAGGTCATGAAAGTATTTTTACCCCAAACCACAAAATCCTAAGAAATATCCCAGTCTTGGACAAACCCAGTAAATTGAAAAGAGCTCTTGGGGGGCCCACGTTTCCTAAAGATGTTTACAATGCTGGAATCTTGATGCAAGTTTTTCAGAAGCTTGAACCAAAACTCTACCTTGAGAAATAGTCCTGAGTGTACTCTTCAATAAGCATAAATTTTCATGTTGGTCACACAACATTTAAATAAAGAAGCTGAAGATAGGTGGGAATCCAATTGCAGATGGTAGCCTGAAACCTCCTATAGGGTTTCCATAGACTG